TATTTTTGTTTCCGTTTTCCTAATTCTCTGTTCATTTTCTGCTATAGAATTTTGAATGCCCCCAATTTTATCCTTCATAGTCTTGATATCCTCCTTGACTTCTCCTATTTCATTTCTAATCTCTGCATGGAACGTTCTCATTTCTTCCTGATTTTCAGCTATTTTTTCTTGTGTTTGGAGCAGTGTTTCCTGGATCTTTTGAAACATACCTTGTATTACATTTGGTGCCATTTCCAGTTTTTCTTTTTCTTTTTCTTTCCCCATTATGCTATCTATTGTTTTTTGTTGTGAGGGGGTAGGAGTCATTACTAATGTATTGGTTGTAGGTTTTTTCCCTGTCTTTGTTATGGTGGATGTTGTAGACATTTTCAATATTCGTGTAAAGCTTTCCAACCTTAACATCAATTATTAAGTTATTCCTTAGTATCTCTTTTCCCCTCCAAACACTGCTTATACACTGCACAGCTTATATATAGTTATATTATATTATATTGCCAATTATCCCAATTGAGCAATTAATTCTTATTCACAGTATAAATCAATTTACTTATCAATCAAGATTTTAGTTTAATTTTCTTAATTTTCTAATTAGCAATTTTTTCAATTACCCCCTTTTTCAATCAGTCTATCTCAAACATACAGTCAACTCATTTGTTATTTTGTATAAAAATCAATCTTTCACTTTAACAGTAATTCCTTATCTAACCACAATTTCACAAAACAATTTATAGCTATAAAAATATTATCTACTTATATATTTCTTTTAAATATTAAACTTATTAACTAATTAAACAGTTCAAAATTAATAAATCACTTCCTTCTTGTCTTAATTTTTATTTTCTTTGGTCTTTGTTGTCTTCTTGCTTTACCTCTCTCAATCAGTTCTTTCACAGTCATAAAAATGCGATCTGTGTCCGTCTCAGTCTTTTTTTTTTTTTTTTACTTCTCCCAGTAATTGGATCTCTGCATTCAGTTTTCAAATCTTTTTTTTAAACTTAAGTTCTTATTGTCCAAACTTATTTGTAAATCCAAAGTCCGAAATCCAGACAGGTCTTCTGTATCCATGAATTTCACCACTTAGTCTGGTATTTCAGTCTCTGCACTCAGTTTTCCGATATTTTGGGGTTTGAGTCAGTTATAGTTCCCAGGTTCAAATGGCTTGTCTATATCCACAGAGTCCACAGGCTGCTCCCTTTGCTCAACTGTAAAAGTCTGCACTCACACTGCTTCGAGCGCTATTTCTCCTTTTCTTATGTTTACTTAGTCATTCTATGGGTTCCTCTCTTCCGCACTGTAGTTGTTTCCCCTTTTTTCCTTCTCCTCTTGTACCGCCACTGTTGTAACTCACTTGTCTTCCTCTGATTCGATTGCGCATCTCCTGTTTACCGCCTCTATTGTAGGTGATCTATCTGACAGTCACTCGGATTTGCTTCCACTATTTGCTTCGATCTAGGCGGGCGCCATCACTCCTATCCCCCGATAAGGCCAACTTCTTCTCCACCAATTTAAGAGGTTGATCACTCGACCTCCCTGATGAGAGTGCAACACTAGGGGGCTTCACGAGTTCCTCTTTCGTTTCCCGATCCCTCCAAGTTCGGGAATGCCCTTAAAGAACAATTAATGAGGAAATTTGGGTATCAGAGACGGAGCCTCCGTTTCCTCACCCGTTCATGATGACGTCACCGCCGGAAGTCTCTCTTCTCAGCAGTTTTCTTTATTGTTCCTCACCTATAGGCAGGAATCTTGCCAAACTAAAGCAAACAATTTGCACCATACTGTTGTGACTCCGACCCCCGAGCCTGTCCTAACAGAGGGAGAGGACTCAGAAGATGAAAGAGAGGATTTGGCAAGGCCTCCCTCTCCAGGACCCTCCTCTCTGGCAATTCCTCAGGTTTCCTCCGAAGGCCAAGAGATATGCCAAGAGCAAGACACTTTGGAGCAGCTGCAGATAGAGAGTGAGGGGGATGAGTTTTGGCTGGATCCCAGACAGCGTCGGAAGGATAAGCACACATAGCAGAGAAAGAGGCGTGGGCGGGCCAGAGATTGAGCTGAGTCACTGGACCACACCCCACAAGGGATAAAAGGGGGTGTGTTGGCTATTCAGGCCCTGTGACGGACAAATTGAAAAGCTTGGAAGTCATATTGTGTTTCTAGAACCCTGTTAGAATCTCTTTTTAGATTTCTTTGGACTGGACTTTGACAATTCTTTGCTTTGTGGAATTAATTTGGTATATCGGACTGAGGAGAAAAAATCTCCCTTAGTGAGTAAAATCTCTTGGCAGGCAGTCCATGGTTCGCTGCCAATACTGTTATCTTAAAGGAATTCCTGACTGTGTGTATGCGTGCGACAGGGACAGAACACATACATATATTCTGAGAATTACTAGGGAGTCATCTTAACTCTCTTCCTCTCACCCAAACTATCTAAACTTTGCTGTCTTGCTCTTCTGCAATGCACTTCCTCCCTTCTGGGAATCCAGACTACGTTCCATCACATCGGCTTTGTTTCAATAAATGTTGCTAATATAGTTGGTTTCAGCAACTGAGAATTGCTATAGCAGAAACAGTACCTATGACGGAATGTAAGTAACTTCAAGCTCAGACCATAAAAGAACAAAAAGATGCTAGAATGCAAACAAGAAAGAAAGAACTTCTGCTGTTCTTACTTCGTGAATCAAAGAATCTAGAAAATCCTTCAGAGGATACATTGGGTTAGGAAGGATGAGTAAAAACAGAAATGGAAAACATTGATAAGGGTTTATTGAAAGAGCCAAAATCCATAATGATTGCTTTTTCCCAGATGATAGATTAGAGGTTATGCCAGAATACCTGATTTAGTATAGAGATCCTGAATCATAGATGAAGGACTATGTACAGTCCTTCCTTTTCTATCCACTCAGACATCCAATACAGTAAAGAAATTTTATTATTCACTGTTTCCTATTTTAAAACAATATATTTTTTTCAACGTTAATTATATCTCAGAAACAGTTAAGTTTTGTCTTTAACATTCACCTTTATTAAAAGGAGGTGCAAAATCCCAGATGTTTTGATATGATAGGATTAATCCTGAAAGATAGAAAAAAAATAAAGCTAACCTAGGGCAGGCAAGCATGTTAGAGGATAAACTTACATTAATAAAAAGATCAGAGCAAGGAAAAGAATAACTAATGTAATGTTTCATTGCTGTAGAAGGATACATCTGGGGAGCAATATTTTTTGTTGTTGCAGGGGTTTTATCTGAGTTAAAACTGCAGGAGTAGTTTGTTTGTTTATTTATTTATTTATTTTTAGGCCACCTATGTCGCTCAGAAATTTTAACTGGCATGTTTTCAATACTGAAACTGAGAGCCAGTATCTAATTCATTTTCCCTGTTGAAAAGTACAAATACAGGTAGTCCTCAACTTGCAACAGTTCACTTAGTCGTTCAAAGTTACAACAGCACTGAAAAAAGTGACCTAGGACCATTTTTCACACTTATGACCATTGCACCATCCCCATGATCATGTGATTTACATCTGGATGCTTGACAACTAGTTCATATTTATGATGGTTGCAGTGTCCCAGGGTCACATGATCATTTTTTGTGATGTTTTGACAAACCAAGTCAGTGGGGAAACCAGATTTATTTAACAACCAGGTTACTAATTTAACAACAGCAGTGATTCACTTAACAAATGTGGAAAGAAAAGTCATAAAATGGGACAAGACTCACTTACCAAATTTCTCACTTACCAACATAAATTCTAGGCTCAATTGTCATAAGTCGAGGGCTACCTGTACAAGCAGATATCCAGCAATTGTTATGGGTATTTAGATTCTGTGACCAAAATATATTTTGGTGATTCTGTGGTGTCAAAATATAAATTAATAAGATCCCATACTAAATCAACTGGATCCTTTTCACCAAAATTAGATCTCAAATTCACTGCTCAAATCAGAATTAGTTTCATAAATACAATACATGTATTTCCAACTGGTTATGCTTCTGTGTTATATTTGGTGCCAGTTTGAGTCACTTCTCAAGTCAAGTTAGTACTAAATTAATTAATATTAGTCCCAAAAAATTATGTCATTCATTCAGTTAGGTATTGTCAGCTAAATTGCGTAAAACTACTTGTTAAAAGTCATCAGACTCAGTGGCCCTGGTTTTATAATACAACTGATTGTGTTTGCTGCTAAAATTTACCAGTTGATCCAGTATTAGTTGATGACAGTTCCAACTTCTTCTATGAAGGACAGTTCTTGAGGGTTTTTTAAAAAGAAATTGTTAATGAAAATGTCATTTAAAATTTATTTACAATATTTGTATGCTGCTGTACTGATGAAGACTTTGATTAATTCATAACAAAACTACAGCAAACAAACAAACAAAACATTCAACAATTCTTCAACTCCCACCAGCCTATCATCACAAATGGGATTTGGAAAGGTGATCTCCAGACCATCTGGAGAGCCTTTCCCTGCCACATTCTGTATATTTTAAATCTAAAAGTGAGATTTAAGAGCAGCTTGTTAATACTAAACAGGAATCCATCTGGTCAGTGATAGCAGAGGAATGGAATATGGAATAGTGCTATGCAGTGTGTTAGAGTAATATTCCAAAAAAGTGCTTTGAAATGTGCAGGAGCCTGAATATAGGAATGTCTCTAAAACCTTGCACAATCATGTCCTTTTCTGGGATAATGGGGAAAGATGCAGATACTTTAAGATGTTGGACATATACTTTGCTATAATCAGGCTTCTCCATATCCAAAGCATGTTTTGGAGTTTGAATCTGAATGCTGCACAGCTCTGTTACAGAATTCTCTGTGCATCTTCTTGAACTCATTCACAAAAGACAGACTATAAATGCAATGAAGAAAGAAAACAAATATCTAAGCTGCAGAGCAAAAGTATAGTTACTGCTGATAGTTAGAATATTTCTTAGGGACAGCAGAGCCTGATTATCTATTAATTTGCTGTAAATGATTAACAATATATATGTTTGTATTTACAGGCCATACATTGTGACGGACTTCATGGGCATCAGGAATGAAAGCTTTATGAAAGTAGCAGCAGTGGGGACCTGGATGGGAGACTTTGTCACAGCTTGGATGGTATGATTTTTTTGTAAAAACCAAGCCAAAAAGTTGAACAGAAATGCAGTTGGTAATTGAAATCCAAAATAACAAGAAGGTATCAAAAGCATAACTCAAATCAAATAGGCTCCACAATAACAGTAGCACGATCGAAAACAACTGGATATAGTTGTGCCTTGCAAACAGAACAGTTTAGGTCTCAATGGGTCTCTTGCAGTGGTGAAATGTAAAATTTGTTACTATTGGTTCTGTGGGTGTGGCTTGGTGGTGGTGGTGGGGCAATATGACTGAGTGGGCGTGGCCAACTTTTTTTTTTACTTTAAAAACTTTTAAAACCATTTTTTCTACAGCCTCTTCGGCTGAAGAGGTTGTAAAAAAAATGCTTTTAAAGCCTCTGACGATCCCAGCTGACTTGCCTGATCAGCAGAAGCTTTTTTTTTTTAAAGCCTCTGACAATCCCAGCTGACTTGCCTAATCGGCAGAGGCTTTTTTTCCTTTTAAAAACATTTTTTCTATAACCTCTTCGGCCAAAGAGGTTGTAGAAAAAATGCTTTTAAAAATTAAAAAAAAGCCTCTGATGATTGCGCAGCTCAGCTGGGCAATGTGGGGGGGGGAGGGATTTTTGCTACTGGTTCTCCGAACCACCTGCCTCCATCGCTACCGGATCTGGCGATCCGGTCCAAACCGGGAGCATTTTACCCCCGGTCTCTTGGTATCCATCCTGGCTAACAATATTGAAGCTTATTTCGTATTAGTTGTAAAGTTGAATAATAAAGTAGATAGGGTTTTACTGAGTAGAAACAACAGTAGAGATAGATAAAAGCAGTGGTGAAATCCATATTTTTTTACTACTGGTTCTGTGGGCGTGGCTTGCTGGGTGTGGTGTGGCTTGGTGGGCATGGTTTGGTGGGTGTGGCAGGGGAAGGATACTGCAAAATCTCCATTCCCTCCCCACTCCTGGGCAAAGGATATTGCAAAATCTCAATTACTACCTCATTCTGGGGTCAGCCAGAGGTGATATTTGCTGGTTCTCCAAACTATTCAAAATTTCCGCTACTGGTTCTCTGAACTGCTCAAAATTTCCGCTAATGGTTCTCCAGAACCTGTCAGAACCTGCTGGATTTCACCCCTGGATGAAAGGGAGGCAGTGGGATTTGAAAATTCAAAGCTACACTTTCTTATGAAACTTTAGAAAACACAGTTTTTTTCCATTTAAGAAATTCTAGTGCTCTAATTAGGATTAGACATTTATATGGAATTGATAAGCCATTCAAATAAACTACAGTTTATTTATTTTTTATATAAGCTTATTGATTTTTTAAAAGTAAAAAGTATACAGGCAAAAAGAAAAAGAACTGAAAAATTGCAAAAAGTCAGGCAGAAAGCAAGATAAGATTCCTCCCCACCCTCCACATTCTTGCTGCTTTTCTGGTGGTGCCATTATAATATAGTAATAAAAAAATAAAAGTATCAAACAATGGGAAAAACCCAAGCTTCCTTTTTTTTTTTTTTTTTACTTTTTTGTCTTCCTGGGTCCTTAATACTGGTCCTTAATAATAAGTGCCTCTTAAGTGGCACTTCATAGTTACAGTCAGCATTACAATCAATCTGTCAATAGTTAAGAGTTATCATCACAATCTGGTTCATATTACTTTTACCTTTTATTTTGTAAAAAACCACTATTTGCTTACTATTAAAACCACTTTAATAGTAAGCAAAAATCATTTCCATGAAGCTCTGATTCATTTAACTTAATTCTAATTTGTTCAAAAACACTTTCATTAAAAAAACTTTTCAAAATAAATGTTCCTTTATCCATTTTAACCTTTCTTACATTGACTCCTTGTTAAGCTTCTTACCAAATTTTTAAAATCTTTAAAATCTTTTGTTTCTTTCTTCCTTTGCAATAAATAAATAATAATAATTATTATTATTATTTCACCAAGTGAAATTTTCTTATCCTGCCACTCACAAAATCTCTCTTTAGTTTCAATTAGTTATATCCCAAAATAGTTAAGAACTGAGAACCTTATGTCCATATAGGCTGCATTACAGATGTGATTGAAAACCTTTGACTTCTAAGCATTAGGAGGGTGTTTAGTTTGCTATCAATCCTCACTGGAAGCAATAAATTAAAATTCAGAATATATTGAGAGACTGTGGGAAACTTCTATATCCTGCAGGAATTTGCACAGGTATCTGCCAAGAGTCAACATTGAATTGAAAGCACTGAAACAACAACAGGTATTTCAACATTAACAGTATTAAAAGCCTTCTTATATTTGATTGTGTGAATACCAAAATGTTATGTTGCCTCTTATACTTTGTTAGAAGAAAGTTTTAAATCACATACAATGAACAACAAGCCTCGGATTGAAACTAGAGCTGGAAGGTATGTCCAAATGAACAAGGGCATTATACATTGGAGAGAGGACAGATTGGGAGAGATCTGGACAAGATCAGGCAATGGGGGGCCTTAAGCAAAGAATTCTTGTCACAGAATTACAAACACAATGTACCCAGATGTCACTTGGAGCCAGTAGTGAAATCTGAACCAGTTTACTACTGGTTCGCTGGCTGCACATGTGCACCACATACCAAATGCAAAGTGCACATGCACGCGCACACACACACACAGTGCACACCAAAAGGAGGCATGGGGTAAGTAGAACAGCACGAGTATGGGGGATGTGATCAGCTATGGCGCGCGAACTTCGGAGCCTTTTTTTTACTTTTAAAAGCATTTTTTACAACCTATTTGGGTGAATAGGTTGTAAAAAAATTGACCATGGTATCATGCTGCAGCGGTTGAGGGGGTTAGGAATAGGGGGCACCATTTTGCGGTGGTTCTCCTCCTTCCTCTCTGACCGCTTGCAGTTTGTGTTGGCAGGGGGGCAGAGGTCGACCTCGAGGCACCTCACATGGGGAGTGCCGCAGGGGTCGGTCCTCTCACCCCTTCTGTTCAACATTTATGTGAAGCCACTGGGTGAGATCATCCGTGGTTTTGGGGTGAGAGTCCATCAGTACACTGATGACACTCAGCTGTACATCTCCACCCCAGACCACCCCAACAATGCCCTTGATGTGATGTCTCGCTGCCTGGAGGCCGTGCGGGTCTGGATGGGGAGAAATAAGCTCAGACTCAACCCTTCCAAGACTAAGTGGCTGTGGCTTCCAGCATCCCGATATAGTCAGCTGGTGCCATCGCTGACTATTGGGGGTGAATCGCTGCCCCCCCACAGAGAGGGCTTACAATCTGGGTGTCCTCCTGGATGCACGGCTGTCTTTTGAAGAGCATATGACGGCCGTGGCCAGGGGGGCTTTTTATCAGGTTTGCCTGATTCGCGAGTTGCAGCCCTTTCTGGACCGGGACGCCTTGTGCATGGTCACTCATGCCCTTGTCACCTCCCGGCTGGACTATTGTAATGCTCTCTACATGGGGCTCCCCTTGAAGAGCACTCGGAGGCTTCAACTGGTCCAGAATGCAGCCACGCGGGTGGTTATGGGCGCAACCCATTGTGCCCACGTGACACCCCTCCTGCGCAAGCTGCACTGGCTCCCAGTGGTCTTCCGGGTGCGATTCAAGGTGTTGGTTACCACCTTTAAAGTGCTCCATGGCATAGGACCCAGGTACCTTCGAGACCGACTTCTGCCACCACCGGCCAGTTCGCTCCCACAGAGAGGATCTCCTCAGGGTGCCATCGGCCAAGTTATGTCAGCTGGCGACACCCAGGGGGAGGGCGTTCTCTGTGGGAGCCCCAGCCCTGTGGAATGAACTGCCCCCAGAAATGCGTAAGATCTCCGACCTCAGGGTATTTCGCTGTGCCCTTAAGACCCTGCTGTTCCGCCAGGTCGGGCTATCAATGTAATGATTTTAAATTGGATGTTTTAAATTTTGGGGGGTTTTAATATTGAGCCGAAATTATTTAATAATTTTAAATAATTTTAATTGTTGTTTGTCTTTGTGCTTTTAATGGGCTGTACACTGCTCTGAGTTCTTTGGGAGAAGGGCGGTATAAAAATAAAATATTATTATTATTATTATTATTATTATTATTATTATTATTATTATTATTATTATTATTATTATTATTATTTCCTTCCCAGGATGGCCATTTTCACAACATCTTCACACCTGTGGATTGGCTCATTCAAAATCGGACTGAGGGGAGAGATTTCTAACTCCTTTATCCTAACAGAATTGCCTATGAGGGACCTTAAAGCCTGCTTTGCCTTTGTCTTGCAATCACCTCCTTTCAATAAAAGCTTTCTTTTGAAATTCTGCTATTTCAAGAGTTTATGCTTCCTTGAATAGGGAGGAGAGGCAGGATCTCACAGTTGTGCTGGTTACTGGAAATTTTCTAAGCTCAGTTCAAAATATTGGTGCACACATTCAATGCTTTAAATGATTTAGGCTAGAAATGAAAATTGAGGGACACGAACTCCAAACTGGTTGGCATTCCTTTATGTGGGATGAGAAATACAAAACACATTCATATTTTAAAAGATACACAATAAGAAACTCATTATTACAAATTTGGCTTAAAATTAAAAAAACAACATTATATGAAGATACCAAATTGACTAGCACCGGCAGAATCAATTAGACACCCAAATTTAACAGAGAAGACAAAAATAATTAGATATAAAGATATAATTGACTATCAAGGCAAATTAAACACAAAACAACAATTGGAGACAGATTTACACAGAGAAATAGACTGGTGGACTTATACTCAAATACAATCCAAATAAAGAGAACATATAAAAACATATGAAATTTATAATCAAAAACAAGAAATAGATAAAATTATATTAGATTCAGAAAATAAATTAATTAGTAGAATTTACAAATTTCTTCTACGCTATAAATTGGAAATTGTGTCTTGTGAAATGAAAAAGAAAAACAGCTTAGACACTAACTCTGTTTTTATAAACTAAAAGTAACAGTTATTAAATGATTTATGTTTCTGGATTAGTTAATTCAGGAGATAAAAATCTGCTTTATTATGAAAATA